AATATATATATATATGAACTTGGAATATTCGTTTTGAAAGTTTGTCCTATCTTCACTGTGTGAAGATAGGACAAACTCTGCAATATGTACGACGGCAGGACATTCTGTTTAGATTTTTCGATAAATTATAAATATAGGTGCACGAACGGAAATATTTGCGCTGCGTCCTGCACCCATTCAAGTATCGTTGATGGGGTTCCACGGGTCGATGGGTGCAGAGTACATGCAGTACATTGTCGCCGACAAGATCGTCTTGCCAGTGGACGTGGCGGCTGTGGGGTAAGCTTAAACTCTCTTATAATACATTTTTCAATTCTCTATTTTTATTTTTTATAGAATTAAACGAATAAGTAGGTACACGGAGAAAGTGCTGTACATGCCGCAGTCGTTCTTTGTGAACGATCACAAGCAGAGCGCTCTGTCAGTGCTAGACGTGGACAGCATCAGCCCCAGTCGAAGCACCTATGGGCTGCCTGAAGATCAGTTTGTGTTTTGCAACTTTAGCCAACTGTACAAGCTGGACCCTGCGATGTTTGGCACGTGGATGCACATATTAAAACGGGTGCCCAACTCGGTCTTGTGGCTGCTGAGGTACCACCACAATGGTTCGTCCAAAGATATATATACATATATGGAACGAGTATATACATATATACAGATAGAAATATGTGGAAATTTAGATGTATAGATGTATGGTTTGTCGTGTTCGTATGCAATTGTATGATATTGTTATTTGTCACCATAGCCATTCCATCTGCTTCTGAATAATAACGAAGTTAATTCAATGTATGGCCTTGACATAATGTAATGATAGTCGGATTCATGGGTCAAATACAATATGATTTGTTTGTTGCCATTATTGTCTTTTCCTTCTTGCTCATTGAAAGGCGTGATTGGTGGGATATATATATATATACATTATTAATATTCTATATTTCTAGAACTGGTGGAGACCAACCTCAAGGCGGAAGCAAAGGCGCATGGAATCCGAGAGACGCGGCTGCATTTTACCGCTGTCGCCCCAAAGGAAGAGCATTTAAAACGAGGGTAAATCAGATATTATGAAGGGTCGATCAAATTAAATAGAAATAATATTTTTGTAGTTATTTGGCGGATCTCTTTCTCGACACTGCGACGAGCAACGGCCACACAATTGGGTGTGATATCTTGTGGAGTGGTAAGCGAATATATATATATATAGTTCAATAATTGATATGATAAATTACATGCGTAGGCACGCCAATGATAACTCAAACGGGCCACCACATGGCGTCAAGAGTGGCGTCGAGCTTGCTCTTGGCAGTGGACTTGCCTGAACTTATCGCAGACACACTGGAAGAGTGCGTTATATATGAGACTTGCCCTGGATGTTGAATTATACTAGGACGATTGCTTGTTATATTTCCATCTTGGGCGGTTGAAAGTAGCATAGTAAAATGGCGTTTCTAACAGTTAAAGCATTAGGTACGAAGAGTTAGCGGTGGCGCTGGCCCTGGACATGGACAAATTGTGGGAATTGCGCAAAAAATTGGAAGCTTCGCGCACGACGTGCCCGCTGTTTGACACTACGCGATGGGTACGACCTATGGAAATAAATGCAAATAAAATGAGAAACATACTGTGCTGCCATACGAGTATAATTTAAATTAAATTGTGAGCAGGTGCGCAATTGGGAAACGGCAATGTTGTTGGCGTGGAGCGGCCACGACGGTGGCATGCCATTGGACCACATCGACGTGCCAGACATCGAAGACCTCGTCGCGTGTTGAATACACGTAGAACCTAGAAATATATATATATATATAACGTTCGTTTATGACGATGATTTTGTAGTACACTAGTGTATGCAATCACAAAACTATGTCTAACGTATATAGACAGGCCAGTCTTATGAACTAGCGAAAGCTCCCCAATAGACATCGATTCCAAGTACAGGGAACATCGTTCCCTGTACTTTGACATAACCCCCACGCACCAAACCTCATCAGACAGCCCCATGGGTTTCACAATGGCACCATGGGGCTGTCTGATGAGGTTTGGTGCGTGGGGGTCGTGTGGAGGGAGATATTCAGCTTTGGTAGGGGGTTGCCAGGAGGTCTAGAACTGGGGAAGGTATACCTTATCCATCGTTGCTGGATAAACAAGGGATTGCCTTGAGGTGGGCGTTATATCTCTACTTTGCAATAAGTTACTACATGTGTAGTACACTGACAATGTGTCAAGGGTCTATATACTGTAACTACCTAATAAAAAAACATGACCATATTCGTTACAGTACTTTACTGATGCTACTGTCTGCGGATGATGGAATCGCATGAGTGACAGGCTCATGGATGCATATATTCGATATATGGTACTGTACGTCAAGGTCGACAGAAACTGAAACCACTTTCTGAAATTTCAACTTTGTAATGGTAAAGTGGGCAACGCGGTTTTATGTTAAACTCGATCGCAACGGCGTCAAGAATAATTCCCTGAGAGCAACAGTTCCCTTCAAAAGAACCAGTAGCCCAGTAACCTCGAAACCC